AATCCACCATCGAGTGGCAATGTAGGACTACAGAGCACTGAACGGGCTCCCAAACCTTGCCTTATGGCAGTGCCTTACAGGGGATACAATCAGCACATCCTGTCAAATGTCACTGACTGTGACCAATTATTACACACTTTAACCCAACATATGACATGTACACGTCTTGTATTTCTTCAGAGAGACACTTATTTGCTGCTACTTTGCATATTGCTGCAGATCAAACCAAACATTGCATTTGAGAAGTGTTCCTGGCCCTTGGAGCCATACTACACTGTACACAGCAAGACTCTTCAGAGCTGTATTTGCCACCAGTGAAGCTTTTAGGTAAGGGCAATTTGACATCATTCCCAAGCAAAACTGGATAAGGAGAAAACAATTGATGTTCACTCAGTTATAGCAAAAAGGGAAGCAAACCCAAGCCTATTTGTTGACAATATTTCAAGTTTGGCTGAGTTCATTGTTAAAGAACATTTTCATAAAGGGCTCAATGTATGGCATTTTAGTGAAAAAGACAGTAAAACATTTATACAGCTTAAGTGCCTTAATTTGTTACCTGAGATGAGGTCAGTGGAGATATGCTTTTTTAAGGGGAATACAGTGTCTTTTAAGCCACAGTGTTATCTACTCATTTTTTGATGTATGAATTGCCTTGTGGGACACACACTGATCAACTTCTGCTGTTCCAGAGGACATTATGACTCTACCTGAACCTTTCAGGAACCTTTACAAGTTGCAACTGGGCTGACCTGAACTTCCTATGTTGGGTCCTGGCTTGGGCTGTCATGACAGCCCTGTGTGAATGCCAAGGCCAAGTCACTGTGCACAGCTTGCACAACGCCCCCAAAGGGTAATGTCATGAACATATGAGAGAGGATGGTAGCTAGAGTCAACTACAAAATTCAGAATTGGAAACTAGTAACTGTTTTCAGAGGGAGACTCTTTAATCACGAGGAAAAAAAACCCGAAAATCTCTGTTCATTTCCGGGTGTGCACATTCTGGAGAGTGTATCTTAATCAAAAGCTTTATTTAGAGGAGTGTAAACTATTTAAATCATTGGGGGGTTCAAATGAATGTAACTGTGGCAGACGGTATCTGTGCCATTTAACAATTCTAGTCCTAAACTCTGAGTTTTCTTGAACAAGTTACTCTTTAGGCAAACAGGCAATAAAACTTCAGGCAAAAGGTAGAAGCTTCTATAGACAAAACACCACCACATTTTATATAAAAAAGTTAAGTGAAATACAAAGTCTAGTTTAAATAATAAAAATTAAGAACATATACACCCCAACATCACTTAATTTCATGAAACAACAATTAACACTCTAAATGCTTTAAATACTCCTTACCCTCATCTTTTGTTTCCTTGAACTACATGCTCAATTTACAAATAGTAAGACCTAATAAGTTTCAGTATTAACCAGAACTGTCATTTATTTAATGTCTGAGAGTAAACATCTATGGATGAGTCAGGAAACTTAAATTCATATTTTCAGCTTATAAGAGATGTTGGGTATAATTTAAAAATTCTACACAGCTTCCTTAATTTCTCTTTGATGCCTTAGGAGTAAGACTTGTTACTAATAGATCTACTGTAATAACCAAATTTTGGATGAATAGAGACTCTTGTTGGAAGTTTATAAATGTCTAACATATCATTGAGATAAACTTTTAATTACATTTTAATGATGGCTAAGCAGTCAATTGAAACTGAAAGAAATTTAACATCTAAATAGCATCTTCTAAACAAGAAGCAAGGAAACCTTGAAATTTTGGTTAATGACACTATAATCACCAGAGAGAAAATTGGTCTCAAGAATTACCATATTAGAATTAGAAATATAGTATTTTAAGTATTTCTCAGTTAAAAAATATCATGGACATAATTTTAACAGGAATCTGTCCTTTCATAACGACTTCTATCCAAACTAAATTAAAGCTAACAGCGTCTGGTGAAGATCATGACTACTATCACAGTACTCATGTGTTGATCACAATGATGAACCTGACCTCTGTTTCACAGCAAGGGAGAATCCTTGCTTTCCTGCATCAGAGCCATGACTGAACTCAGATATTTGCTGAGCTGTTAATAGGGCTGAAAGCCATGTCACCTAACTTGCATGTGTCAAAGACAAACACAATTTCAGTACATAGTAGTATACTTGTTTTATAGAAAAGTGAATTGTCTCTGGCATCACTGTTTCAAGGTTTTTTGTATTGTTGGGGGTGTTTTGTTGCAGAAGATTTTTTGGAGGTTGTTTCTGGTTTTTATTTTTTAAAGGGTGTGACAAAGCCAGCATAAGTAAACTCTCTCAGACCTGAAATGTAATATGAAGTAGCACTTCCCAGCTTTAGCCTATCCTTATCCTATTGGTGGGTTTGGCTCTCTTGGGCTTTTATTTCCTAGTCCAAGTCAGATAGAAATGCTTACAAAGTGCTCTGCTCTGTGTTCCATGACTGGGCTCACTGTCTCTGCAGGGTTTGTAGAGCAGTTTTGTTTAGCAGTAAAAGAGGAACCAACCACCTGGACTGCAATCATACTGCTATAGATTTTACTGCTACATCACGAGCTAGGAAATGACTCTCAGACTTCTCTTATTATCTCTTATAAAGTCCTCCCACACATCCCCACCACCATTAATGTTACATAGCATAGTATCCTCATTTGCACTACACAGCTCAGTAATCTTGCACCCATTGTGTGTATGGCAAGGCTACTTCCAGAGGGAATTAGGCATTGTTAAGAACTGGTACAAAGGAATGTGACCTACTGCAACAAACTTTTCCTTTAAATTAGTTTCTGGACAGTCTCAATTCAGTATTTTCTAAGGTAAGACATAAAATACTGATATTCAAGAACCATCTTGACACAATCCTGTGCCATGTGCTCTGGACATTGACCCTGCTTAAGCTATCTGGTTGGACCAGATGACCCCTGTGATCCCTTCCAACCTGACCCTGTGATGCTGTGACTGCATTTCTGACAAGGAGGTGTTCATTCTCTTACACTCTATTGACAGCTTGGCACCCTATTGACTACCATAATTCACAAGAATCTCCTGTGTATCTCTAACACAGTAGGTTCCATTTTTTTCCTATATTATGGATCCTCTAAAACAACATAACATATACATGCATATATATGTAAACTAGCAATGTATGTTAACATTTCTGTAATTTTGAGGATTCTAAAGTGAGAAATTATGAAGTCAGATAAGATAACCCTAGAAGGAAGAAGGAAAAATTAAAATTTCTTCATGAGATAGCTGTAGAACAAATACTTTGGATAACTAATGTACAGTTCGGACTAATAGAATAGTCATAGTCACAAAGGAAAGATTCCTTTCCTTCCAGCAGAAGGAAGGATATTTTGATTACACTTAATCCATAAAGAACCAAGGACAGACAGACACAGAAGAAAAAAAGGAAAGATTTGAAAAGCAGAAAGCATGGGATTGTGTGAGATTGGACAGAAATTTAATACCATATAATCTGCACACCCATTGTTTACAGACCCAAAACCTGGTAGGGAATCTATGATAAAATAGATGAAATAGTCATGTCATGTTTGCAGTTTGCTGTTGTGTGTGCCAAGTCTAATTTTACCCAGTTTAAAGAACTAACAGATAAGAAAGTGAACACAATTAATCCCTTCAAAGTGATTTCAATACTATGGTACATTCAGCCCTCAGAACTGGAAAGTACATTGGGACCTAAAAGTAAAAGGCTGCTGAAAAGTAAATTATATTCTTTACAAATGGTAATGGTGTCCTCAAAGATTTAGTAAAAAAAAGCCTGGTAACATAATCTACATCAACGTATTTCTGAAAATACTGACTAGTGATAAAAAAGTATAGGTAAGAAATGCAGGGATAAAACTCATCAACTGCAACGTCCCTGTGAATGCTATTGTGAGTTTCTTAATTGAATTTAAAACATTTTTTCTCTTTCAGCTAGCACAGTGACTACTTCTCTATCTTTAATTGCTAAATTGAGGCTGATTTAAACAGAATGCTTGCATTTGTGCATTTCACGGATGTGTACATTTAAAGTTATATTTCATCAAGCTCTTGACAGGAAAGTAGTGATTAAAAATATTCAACACAAAAATTTAAAGAGAAGCTCAAAGTTTATCTCTAGATTCTTTGGATTAGAATTGCAAAAATTCTCTTGAAACTCAGCAAAGGAATCTTAAAAGAATGAAACACACCTGAAAACCCAGAAAATTTTAAAAGCTAGGCTTTCAGAAGCCAAATAATAGCAATAAAGTTAATGGCATGGATGAAAAATAAACCTATTTATTTACAGAGTGAATTTTTCAAAGTAATTTTTAAGTACCATCTTTTTCTCTGACACCCTCTAATTATACTGGGAGTGCAACGCTGCCAAGAGGTTTCTTTTGTGTTTGCAGTTCTTCATAGCTCCTGGCAGCTGCTAGGAGTCACTGTACTGTTTTTACAAGGAGGTGCATGAAAGACAGCATTAAATTATTATATAATTAATGCAAACAAAAAGCTACATTGCTTTTTGTCTGCGTTTGCTGACAGGCAAAAAGAAAGTGAAGCTGCTAGGGTTTATGGGGAATAATTGACATCTAGAAACAGAAATAACACTTTTCACTAGATAATACAGAAAAGCTTTTTCACCCATTTGAAAAAGAAAATCTACATAGGGAGTCATTAAATATGTGGGGTTTTTTTTAAGAATTGCACAGAAGGCAAAAAGCACAGGATTAATGACAAGGTGGAATGGAAAAATGTCTCTCATAAACCTGTGCTCTTTCACAAATGAAATAATACTGTACAATTGACAGACTCTGAATATTTTCCTCTATATTTTATATGAAGCTTTAAAAAAAATTTACAGAGGAAAGAAACATTACTGCTAAAATGCCTTAGTAGATGGTCTTGTTTCTCATTCCACATTTGAGTAAAAAAAAAAAAAATACTGATATTTGAATCAAGTTTCATTCAAAAAGTCACATAAAAACAGTACTCACTTTTTCTTTAGTCTTCTGTCCTTTTCTGCTTGTGTTCCAAGTTTTCCTAATCCCAGAGATTCCTGAGCTGCTGCCTCTGTTTCCATGTAACCTCCTGGAAAATAAAACAAACAAAACCCCCACCATATTTTCCCTTCTCTTGCTTCCTCTCCTTAACCCTTCAATTCCCCTCCCACTCACCATCATCATCATCATCATCATCATCTACACTTGCTTCCTTAACATGCGACATCTAGTGTTTGTGGAGAACATCTATCACCTGCAGAAGTAAATTCTCATCATCATCATCATCATCTACACTTGCTTCCTTAACATGCGACATCTAGTGTTTGTGGAGAACATCTATCACCTGCAGAAGTAAATTCTGGCAAGAATTTACTACATGGTAAAGAGTAGTAGAGGAAAAAGAAATGTTTTCTCCTCCTTGTGTTCAGCAGAAATGTATGACAAGAGCAGCCCTATCTCCTTTGCCTATTTTTCCTTGCCACCTAAGGCTCAGCCTTGTGCTAAGTAAGCAATGTTCTCACCACTTTTTAATCTTAGTTGAGAAATGTACAAATGAAATTTCATTCTCTAGAACTGTCTCTCTACTGTTGCCATAATACAGCATCACCTAATGCAGTAGTGCTAAAGTCTTCGTTTTGCTTTCATAGAGTCTTAGATGTCATTATCCCTGCAAAATCGTAGAGATGACAGAAAGAATCTGTCAGAGAAGTAAAAAGCCTCCTACATCTCCTTGGAGGTTGTAGGCACCTAAATCCTATCAAAGTCAAGGGAACTTGAATAACTTACACAGAGTGACATTGGAAACTTGCAGTAAGCAAGGATATGTGGACCAAAATAAAATAATTTTATAAACTAAGGGCATGACTGGTATGATCCACATGGCCACTGACAGGACTTTCCTAGTGCAGAAGTGGAAAACGGTCTGACTTTTATCGATTCAAGTAGAGGGAACGTGCTGATGGAGCTCAGTAGAGTCTCCTGGCTCTGGCTTCACACTGTCCCCTCACTCCCACTTGTATGTGTACAGACAGAGGCACTGCAGCTCTCCTCTGAAGGATGCCTCCCTCCTGTGCTCCAGTTCAGAAAGTGTGCAACTGGCACAAGAAAAAAGGGAACAGTGTGGTAAAATGCTGGTGCTTGACTCTGTTTGAACATAGCTATTTCTTATTTCACAGCTAATGGATAGTGAACAATTGTATAGGGGACACCGGCAGAATAAAAAAAGCAAAAAATAAATTAGAATATTTCTGTTCTGATAGGTTGATTTTAATAATAAAATTATTCAAAAATGTTATTTACTGAAATAGCACCACAGCCTTTTACAAGTCAGATTTACATGTGCCTCAAGCGAGAACAAAACCTACTAATGCATCATGTCTATAACAAACTTAGAAAAGCTTGGGCTTAAGCTGTTCTTTTAAAGCAGGTGCTGTTCTAACATCCCTGTTTGTCTAGACAGATTTTTACTTTATTAAAAGAGGACACTACTTCTACAAGTCTCACAATGGGAATGGTGCAAATGCACCTCACAAATGCAGAAAACATGAACATATACTTTTCTTTACTTCATCTGCCTGTCCAAATCTTATAGAATCTCATTAAATGCTTCTTGCTCACTCTGGATTACATTTTTCACTCAGCAATCAATCAACATACCATACCCTTCTTGAGAGAGCAGCTCTCAGCATGTTGGATAGAGATGGGATGAGTACAGTGCAATGAGGGTTTATTACAGGTTGGAGAGTAGTTTGGGAATAATGATTTCTCCATTCTCCAAATACATCTGGCCTTCAAATAACTGAGGGTACCTTATATTGGATATGGCCACAATAAATGTTTCCTAACAAGCTGACTTTTCCATTTACCATGCAGATCAGCTTGCTTGGGGTCCGCTTAAAATGCCTGGAATGTATTGTTTGTTTTGGAGTCTAGAATATTTTAAAAGTAATATGAGAAGAATACAAAAGTGTCTAACGTGGTGTTTGTCAAGTGAGAGAAGACTGGAAAAGATTCAAAGAAAAAAAGAAGGAAAGAAGGAAAGAAACCGCACTTGAACTCCCTGCAGCATTCCTTCCTCCTTTTCCAAAAGCTTAGAGAAAACTTGAAGAATCTAGAAATCTTGAATCTAGACTCAAGAAAAGATCTCCTAAGGCATGAATTTGGCATGGAATAATAATGCTAACGGTTTAGCAGAGAAGGTAAAATTATCAAATAATAATATAACAAAACTCTAGTAAGTTTAGGAGTTGAAAAGGAATAATTTCAGGATTTTGCAAGGAATACAGAGCAAGGAAATATTTTGGGTAGGAGCATAGCTCTGTTGAACATAGTAATACAACTCTGTAGGTTTCAATACTGTCTCTTAAATAAGAGTATATAAAGATGTGTTTTTGAAGAAAAGGTATTTTCCATATTAAAAAACATAAGAAGCATATGTCTATATTAAATTAGAGTATTTGATTTAAGCAAGGAAATTAATTACATTCTTTTATTGATTTTGCAATATAAATTTGGGTTTTGAAAGCCATACAAATATTTTGCAGGGCTGTAGTGATAAGACTTGTTATATAAATTTCTGTGATGTAGTGTCTTACCATGAATAGAACTCCTAATTTTATAGCTGCACAGATAACACATCTGTTGTGAAACTGAGTCAAGTACTACCACTACTGCTGTTTTAAAAATTTCATTGTCCCTTGCAACTCAGGGTGTTCTATGATTCTATGATACTGCCATTGAACGAAAATGACCACTCAATAAATGCTTTTATTTGATATGTTAAAAATTAAGATGAGAAAAACTACCTGTAATTCAGCTTTTGTCTTTTTAATTTCTGAAAAATATTTTGCTCCTACCTTTTGATTACGTAACAGTCTTACTGTTCATTTTATACATGCCAGTAAACCTAGTTTGCTTAACAAAAATCTGCATTATATCGAAATTTTGCTCTTGAATTAAAGAATAGAAGTCACAAAAATTAATATAATTGTAAATCACCAATATATTTTAGCAATTTAATGACCTAGTATGGGAAATTACAAATGGACTTTATCAAATTCTATGCATGTATTATTAATCATGGTGGGTTTTAGGAAATTAATCCTATGCCAGATTTCATTGTTCCTGAGATAGTCTTTAAAACTGTTATTTCATTTTTGTTCCACATTCCAAAGAACAAGGACGACCAATACATTTCTTGTATCTTTGTCCTCTATGTTCCTGACTTACTGGGAAATTATAGGTTATTGTGTATAAACCATCAGTATCAATAAAAAAGGTTATATGGAATGCAAATATGAATTAATAAAGTCTAACTTTAGGTGCAGTCTAAAGTTATAAAATTAGTTATCAATGCAGTTGGTGGCATACAGGTGCAGTTCAATGAGTCATTTATAGATTCTCATTTAAAAGTTTGAATAAATCAGTTTTATTCTTTCCATAGTGAAAAAAAGGGGGAATTCAGATTGCAATTAGAAATTAGGTAAGGTTTTTTTTTCAAGAACACAGAGTTTTCACAGGCAGAGAGAAGAAAGGTTGGAGTATCAATGAAGAATACTCAGTTTTTCAATTTTACTCTGATACTTTGACCTTAGTACTATCTTTTTATAAATTCTGTACTATTTTAGCAATGTGTTTGCTAGTTGTGATAAAGACATTGCAACAAAAATGTAGGGTTTTAATTTCAGACTTATGCTTGCTGCTTAAGTGTTTACTGCAAAGCCTTAGAATTCTTTTACAAGTGTGACATGGTCACCCTGGCAGTAAAATCTAGTGCCTCACAAATTTGTATTATATTACATCTGCATGACTAGGAAAGAGCCAGTATTTCAATTTTATTGACACTTTTATTACAATTTGATACTTGTGTTGGCATGTGTCCATATACACATATCCTATAGAAATAGGTAGAGGAAAATTTTTTCCATGAATGAAATAGAATGAAATAGTTTTGGCAAGGGAAAAGGGCAGAAGAATTAGGAAGAAAGCAAAGCACTGCTGTGAGCAGCATAACTCTAAAAAGAAATTGTTATCCTGAGGACATTCAGCTATAGGCACTAGAGGGCATCTACTGACACACTGAAATCCGAAAAGCAGCTACACTTAGTTACAAGGACCTTCTTTATGACATAGGTACACCACTTACAGCCATTTATTCCTTATTAACTTCTCACCTCCTCTTTATGTGGTTATTCAAAAATTCAGTATTATCATTTCTACCCTAATTCAACAGATTATTGAAGCACCAGTTCAGTGAAAAAGATGACTCCAGTAATTTGTGCCTGAACTCTCCTTTCATTTACATTACAGTCATGGCAAACTCTTGACAAATATAATTGCTGATAACAATGAAATTTAATGAGAAAGTTGTGCCAAACAGAATAGAAAAACGAGCGAATTGGAAACTGAAAAAAAGGCAAAATTAAAAATGGAAAAATGGCAGTGAGATGGTGACCTCAGCTTGTTACCACTAAGTCCTTACTGAGCTGTCCAAGTCGAGCCTTCTCTTTTTTACCAAACAATCGTCCTATTGAAGATTTGATTCCTTTCTTCTTGGGAGCTTTGTGCAGGGAGTCCTGACTGCTGCTGACACTGCCAAGACCAATGCTTTCTGGCTCCAGTGAAGCAGGCAAACTACTGCAAAAAGATAATAAAGAAATAGAATAGATAACATATCAACATATTTATTTTTTTTCTGAGCAGCTCTGCAAATAAATGAGTTGATTATAATTTAGTAATGATCTCCCAACAAGTGAAACAATCACATCTTTATATATTATTTGGCATCATATAGAGCAACAGAAGACCACACTTTCTCTGTCAGGCAAGGCTGCAAGTAAGTATTTTTACTTTGCTAAGAACAATTTATGAAAAATACAGTAGTCAGCATTCTGATTTTATTTCTAGGATTTTTAGCATTGCTACTTCCAGTAGTCATCAAAACTGTACCTCAAAACAGAGATACCCAGCATGTACTTTAGCACTGATAGACATTTTCAGGGTCATTGCAACAGACAATGGGTAAGATTTTTTTCTCTCATGACCTGAGAAACAGGGTAGAAATCAGGTCATTTTGGAATAGATAAACAACGTGGTTTGAAAACAATAAGATGTGGTAAACTGTGAAGTACTGCTCCACGTTACAAACATCTTACCTTCTGGCATCATTGTGGTAGGAAGAAGGAAGGGTATGAGTCATCCTGATGGCTCTGGGTGTTGGAGGAGGAGACGTTTCACATTTGATTGTAGCTTTATCTTCACGCCCATCTTCTTCAACTACTGCAATCTGGGGGAGAGAGACTCCAGTGAGAGCATATTAGCTTTTCAAGAACGTTTAAACACATGCTGCATGGAATTTTCAGTGGACTGAAGCATGTAAGATTTCAAGTGCAATTTTTTTAGCAAATTGTAAGGATTTTTTTTTTTAAATATGCTATTGGGAAAAATAATTGTCTTAATATGGCAGCTCAAAAGACATATTTAAAAGAAATGAGTTCATGCTTGTAGATGAACTTAATTCCTTTTATGCTAAAGAGGTTGGGGAAGGTCTAAACATGAAGACAATCTTGGCTCTAAGTGGGTCCCTTGCATTAAACAGGATTATTCAGGTTAACTAAGTTTCTCAGGGATGTAAGAGAGAAGGTGAACACTGGCATAAACATGACTGCTATCTACACTGTGTGTTACCAGAACAGTCAGAATGCTTGACAGCAAGCCTGACAAAATTCCTTTCTGTCCATACCATTTAAAGGTTTATCTTAAATGCCATCTTCTGTCATGGCATTTCATCATCAGTGCCAGTTCTGTAAACAACTTTATATTGCTCCAGAAGATTTCAAGAAATCTGTCTGTAGGTCCTCCAGTAACAAGAGTGTTGAAATACATTTGAAGGTAATTCTTTTGTGTCCATACTTCTTTAAACTAAGTATGTCTTTAAGTTTGTGCTGTTGAGGCTGCTACTCCAAGATATCACTTGTGGGCCTTGATTTTGTGACCCTTGAAAGCCATTCCAGGTAGGATTGAAATTATTATGTTCAGGCATTGAATGAAAAGGAGAGGAGGGGATGCAGTTGCTGGCAGAGGACCCCAAGCAAATATTTAGTTATCTAAATTGCAGAAGAATATGATAAATGTGTTCTCCCAAATTCTAAAAACCCCAGTATCATACCTTTCTCCGATGCTTCCTTAGGTCGCTTGGCTTAGATTAGTAACAAAAACGGAAACAACAACAAAAAAACCCAATTAATAAATATCATTGAAGCATAAAAAATGCTGAACATTTGTGGTTCTCATGATTATGAAGTGAGAAACAAAGATTAATTTATCACTCTCCATATTATATACTAATTATACACTAGATGTAATAATGTAAAATAACCCCTGAAAAAGATGTCATTCTGGGCAAGTAGGTTTGGGTATTTTTCCTAAAGTTATACTCTCCTTCAATTTCATAAACTTAGCAAAGAATTGGACATTTCAAGCCTAAGTAGCACATTCTATTTTTTGAGTTTTCATATAAGTACTTACATTATCCCCAACAGAGATTTTTTTTAGAAGTTTTATCAAATGTTACAAATATATTGGTGTCCCACCAAGTAATACCACAAAATATCATCACCAAATACTATGCCCGAAAATATGACAGGCATTTTCAGGAAATGAATACATATTCACTTATCTTCTGCAGTATTACTTGGCTGCAGCAGACTGCTAGAATGGGTCTTTTTCAACCCCCTTTGCATTTTTATTTTTCGTAGATGTCTCATGCATTTAAGGAAAGCTGAAGATATTCTGCAGAATTTATTTACTGCATGGACCTGGGCTGTGGAAACTCATGCAGTCCAGCTTCTCTAGCCAACCAACACAGGGTCATTTGGCAATTTGAGGTCCAGAGATCAGAGTTCTACAAACCTCTTCCCAGCTCAAAGTTTTACTTAGAGGATGTCTGACAGACTTGTGTCTGTTCCCAGCCAGCAAGGAAGTGATATTGAACACTGAACTCCTGCTGACACAGTGCAGGGCAGAAGTGTCCTGAAATGTGTGATGAAGGTGAGCAAAGCTGTGGGCTGTGCTGCTGAGCACACTATGGGGGGATGTTTCTACTGCTTATGGTAAGTCAGGAGTTCAACTGCAAGTCAGACAGACAAATCCATCTGAGTTTTAGCACAATTAGAGCTGGATGCCAGTGAGACCATGGCAACCTGAATTGCAGAGGCTATGCTGTCATTTTGTGTTTGAATTGGATGAACTTACTGACCCAAAGTCATAGTTTTGAAATCCAAGCAGCCAGGCAGTGCAGGTGTCTGCTGGCAGTGCAGTCCAACCATTGCCACCTACCTGCAGCCAGACGTACTTGGAAAGGGGACCAGGCTGTGCACTTGGGAGGGTGCTGCTTTGGTGAAGCAGCCTGCACACTCACCTCCTCCACAATGACCTGTACAACCAATATTTTCGTTTCTGCTGTTCAGCAGTGGGAACTGGGGCAGCAAAGAATAAGATACAACTGCCTGCCTGGACCGTCTCCCTGCTGACCTCAGATCCCAAGGTGGCAGCAAACACCACTGGGAGGAGCAGAGGCGGGTATGAGTAGTTGTCAGTTCCCAGGAAAAGGGAATACTTGGCTAGATGATAATCAACAAAAGCTCCTACTCCCAGATGAGAGGAATGAACAGCCAGGCTTTATTTCCACCTGCTCTTAGCAACCTTTTCTGTTAGGAAGGGCTCCACAGGGAATCAATGCTACTGCTTCCCAGGAATGGACCACAAGGGGACATTGGCAACATTATCAGAGAAAATCAAATAAAAAATGGGCTTATACATACCCTATTCAATTCCCTGTATGAGATCAGCAGAGTGGGCTGCTTTGATTCTCTCTTAGTATTTAAAGGGATTAATTCACCCTGACTCCAAACTGGTTTGCAGCTCACACTGAAAACTGAACCTTGCACCCGTACTCAGATCAGTGCCAGTTGCACATCCTAAATATGTTGACGCATACTATCTTCAGATATTTGACAGTTGTACTGTTTCTTCTTGTCTAGGATAAAAATGAAATTGCTTTCCAAATTGAACAAGACATTTTGGAATGTGTCCTCAAAGATATAGCAAGGTTAGAAATTATTTGCACAGTAATTTCATGGTGGCTTGGTGTCTGTGTGTGAGCCATTTGTAATACTGAAATACATCAGTTAAATGAATTCCTGGAAACTAAAGAACTTATTCCATTGTGCATGATATATGGTCATGAAGAGTGCATAAAAGTTCTGCAAGTATAAAAGAGTATACCAAATATAAAAGTATATCCAAGTGATCATATATAAGAAGTGGTAGAATGTCTTAATGTCTTCTAGATATATCCTGGAAGTTTAAACTCAACAATAGTTCCAGAGACTATTGTGTAATAACTGCATCACTGTATCCATTAGTAAACATTTTTTTACATACAAGTAATTCCAGTGATCAGTTCTGTTTCTTATTAATTCCATAGCCTGTGTGCTGAAGGCCCTCAGTATTCCTATCACTATCTCCCTAGTGAATCATGCAATGCTCAAAACCACTATAACAAAGCCCAAAGACACCAAATGTCCATATTCTAGAGAATTTGCTATTTGTATGGGTGATGAAGATGTGAATGAAGAATTAGAGAGATGAGTCAGTAATACAGTGAAAAGATTAAGTACTTAATACAAGAAATATCACATCAAATACTGCCACCATAAGGTTTCTTACCAGTGTCATGACCCCCATTCTGTCCATCTCCCTGGCTGGACTGCGAGGGGTGAGTTTGGGAGTTGAGTGTCCACTGGGAGGAGATGAGCTTGCGAGTGATGATGCTGTCACTGAGCCAGTGATGGAGGTACCTTGGTGGACTCTGGCTAGATTTAAGCCTTCCAGACTCACGCTGGCCACTCTGTTCTCTATCTCTTCAGCACGCAATTCTGTCGACTCTTTCTCTTCTTGGATTAACCTTATTAAGTAACAGAAGAACACTCTTGTTGTATTTGTCTCTTCATATCCCCAGAGCAAAACTAGAAACCATTTAATTTCATATGAGATTGGAAAGTAAGAGCAAACAAAGATGAATAGCATGGATAACTAAACAATATCCTTTCCCAACATTATTTTCCTAATCACCAGTTATCAAAATATTTTTCTCAACTCCTCCATCCTCAAAACCTGTTTGAAGAATGTGTCCAGCAGCAAGGCTTGATGTATGACATTTCAGGAATATTAGTTCCTTTGCAAAGGAGCTAGAATTGCGCAGGGGGGTTAACAATCTGATTTACCACAGATAACCAATTCCAAGCTTATGTAGGCTTCATCAGATTATCTTCTGCTAAATCACAAAGTTAAGAGTCAAATGAAATTGGGCTTTTAAGAAGGGAATTGCTACAATAATCCATATTAATAGCTATGATAATAAAAGCCTATCCTTCAGTACAAGAGTAGCAGCTGAGGAAATAAACTACTCTCAGTAGACTTCCAGTAAAAATGGATGTATAAAAAGTGCACCCTTGCTTCCCTTTTGAGGTAAAACTGTACCTAACATCTGAGTCAAGACCCTGGGTTAAGTATAACAGTGATCTGATTCAGAGTGGCACAAATAAATATCCCACTACGTCACCTACAAGTACTGCTCCTTGTGAAAACCCTTTACTGTATTACTTGTTAAACTGACAAAAGACTAGTATTGTTTAAAAACAAATATAAATATTACATCTACAGCTTCATGAACTGGCCATAGTGCAGACTTCTTCATAATAACAGAAAATATGGATAAGGTTCTTTCTTTTATGTACACTGTTTTAAGGAGATTTACATTCCCAACCAAAATATCTCTTTGACTCTGCACCTTTACAGGTGTTGGAAAAGGTTTGGGAAAACAGTGTAATCCTATCTAAACAGATTCCGGGACAGCAAAAAAATGCAAAGCTCTAGATTTATAATAAAAAGTTTTTCCCAGAACAGAAAAATTACTCAAATTCAATATATTCCAACAGAGTTCTCCCTTTAAAGTTACCTTGATCAGAGAATGATCATCTTTTGCCAAATTAGTCTATCTTGTTTTGATTATATTTCCAACCACAGTATTTCTGTTTCTAGTATCACCAGAAATTCCCTTACACATTTACTAATGTTTCCTTCATCTCCTTCTAGGAAAACAGTCGCTAATGAGAGGATGTTTTTCATACGCCAAGTTTCTTTCAAAGCTACCCTTAGTGAAAAACATGTAAGAATGCTTTAAGCTTAAAATATGTTTTCATTTATAACAATCACTTAATTAAATCATGTCATTTGATTCTCTACCACTCCATTAAATTTGCACAGATATTATTAAGATATATTCTATTCATTACCCATTTCCAAGCACTATAATCCAACTTGGAGCATGAAGAATCATGTTCTGTGTCTATAGAGAAAATCAAAACCATGCCTTAGAAAACATGGCTTTTATTAGATTTAACATAGGGATAATTGCCAGAAGATAGCATGAAGAGTGCTGAAATAAAATATTTCTGATAGGAGGTTGTTACTGAGCAAGTAGTGTCATGCATAACAGTGAAAAAGACCTTGAAAAGAGGACTGTGAACAGTAATCTGTGAAATCTGCCATGTTTTAGCCTCCTCTAACTTACTTCCCTTCAACTGGCCAACAGTTCTTCACTTGGAATGTTTTTTGAAAGAAATGTCTATGGTTAGGAAAGAAAGACTCAGTTGTTATCTTCACACAACCAGTACTCTCCTCTGGAAAGCAGACACATGATCAATCCCCTAAATGAACAAGTTGTTTCCTAACTGCCATGAATGGTACCTGAACTCAAGCACCAAAGGAAGCTTGAAGCTGTAACCATAAGTGCATGGCAGCTGGTTCAGGCTACATACCTGATTTCTTTATTGATTGCATCTAGCTGCTCCTGAAGCATCATGGCCAGAGTCTGGGCATCGGAATGGCCACTTGGAGACAGCAGGTCCATGGAGCTGAACAGCGTTTCTCTGTCATCATCATCGATGTCTGACATCTCAGTGTCACTCTCAAACGGATGGCTGCTCAGAACACCCATCTGCTGCGTCCGATTCCACTCGTGATCGCCAAGTGATTTCACCTGAGCCAGAATTCGGACATACATGGCTTATGTCAGAGAAAACTGCAAAGTCAAACTTCCAAAAAAAAAAGAAAAAAAGGGAAAGGAAAGCAACTAACACTTCAAGATACTTATTCAATTATTAGCACTCCATTAATGCTCACAGTACTACCACAAATAGCATAAAGTATTTTCACATAATCATAATTTAGGTACACAATTACTACAAGGAAAATTTATTAAAAAAAAACACTCTGGAAAGACAAATAATCAAGTATGTTTGAAATTTGATGTCTAAACTTCAGCATTTTCTGCCATCATTTTGTACAATAGTTCCCTGATCAGGTATGGAAAAACTCCTGTTCTCTGGGTTGGGTTTTCTTGTTCAATGGGTTGTTTTCACTGCTGTTGTTTTCTTCTGGGAAGAAAACTCCACAAACGGTAAGCTTAACATAAGCCTCAAATACGTTCTTTTATCAGGGAATATATGAGAAGAAATTGGGGATTAACCTTTGGTTCATCTCTGCGTACTCCCATCCGGCCTCTTCTAGGTCTCCTTATCACCTTAGTTGACCGATAGTCAGACTGGCTATCAACCAGCGAGCCCACTGAGTACCTCAGCTCTGTTGATGTGTCCAGATGAGGTCTATAAACAGAATTACATAAGTGGACTGAGAGAGTAATAGGAATAATAACAATCCAATGGCTTTCAGTCTAGCAACACAGATTTCTTTTTTTCAAACAAACCTTTATGTATCACATAATAAACGTGAAAACCACATCACAAAATGTAATTTAAAAGTGAAAAATTGAAATATTTGTATGAGAAAATTTAGGGAGAAACCAAATAATAAAACCTGTGGTTTTTTAAAATGAAAGCCATGCATAGAAAAACTTATAGTCCAAAACTTTAGCAAGAAAAAGCACATTTCGGGATAATTAGAACTGGCAGGTGAATGTATTATCCTGTATATTCATAAATATGCCTGAGGTTACTCTCAGCATGTTACATGTTCATGAATGAGCATATTGATTAAAGTTTTCCTGCTGTAAGTCTGTGCTCTACATTATGAAAACATTAGTGAACTGACCTGTGATATTTAACATTGTTTAGGAATTACTGATCTTTATTTGATGATGACACTTTCAGTGCTTTAAGCCCTATTTTTTCCTATAACCCTGGTAAGTCTTGGGATACTGTGGTGAGGCTTATACAAGATGACTTCAGCATCACTTTTTGTTTACAAACAGTGGTCCCTGACCTCTTTTGTCCTTAGTCAAACAGTAGCACCAAAAGTTCACTGCATGATGCAATAAAAAGGATCCTAACCATGGGCTGTGGAATCAAGGTGGAAGAGCAAAGGCTCCATGCACCATTTGAGAATTCAACCACAGAAGTAGAGACCTGAACAATTTCTGTTTCTTGACATACCAGCAATCTCCACATAAAAATATATGAATAGCATGATCAAAGTAAAAAATGAAATGTAACAAAAAAAAGCCCAGAGGGAGGTGACTATTTTTATCTTCTGTGTACAGCAATTGTCTCAGTAGAACTTTGTTCTCATAATCAGTAATATTTGGCAGTTGTCAAGCAAGTGGGCAGGAAAAAAGAAACAGTCTAGATTCTAGTGTCTAGCTGTAGATACTCATCTGCTGACCAGCTTCTTTATTTTCCTGAAAGCACAAACTCCAGCCAATGCAGAATTGAATACAGGCTGAGAATGGGAAGTATTTAATGCTCAGAGCTTGCTGTGCCTGAGAGAGCTGGGAGCTTCATGATGTGAGGTTACACAAGGGAGAGTATACTGTTTAGTGGAACCTGCTGAATTACCAAGATATTTAGATAGCTTATCAAGTTCAAACAGCCCTTTGACAAGGGCTCATCAGCTCCTGTTTACAGAGCACAAGCTAATGATATTCATCTACCCAGCAAGAAAAGCTGCTGTTCACCAAGGATGGCTGGTCCAAAACCAAAGCTGCTGTTGCAGCAGCTCAGTAGCCTGTGTCCCTGCAAGCACTCTCAAGAAAAACAAGTTGTGTGCCTGTAGTCACATTCCCGAGGGAACAAAAATTCAAAAAGTTAAAAGCATCACATTCTGAATTTCATCAACTTACAATTCACTACATATAGAAAAACATTATTCCAAGAAATAATAAAAGGTTGAGGGAGAAACAATGTCCAGGTACTGAGCAAGACATTTGAGGACATCAATGGGCAGGCAATAGCTGATGTAAAAAAAACCAACCTTGAACAAGAGTAACTTTAGATGAATACATCGCTCCCAATTTAGTCTTGGAGCTTTGTCTGGCAGGTGTGCTGGCAGGTTTTAAAAACTAACGTGTTGCTTGTTATGAAAACAGCACATGGCACACAATTATCAATAAAGCAACAACTTAATCTCAAGGGACGCTTTCAAGCAAGAAGGATTTTCTAGAATGATAAATTATTTTCAGCAGTTAGTGGTTATTTTTATGGCATTTGTCTCACTATTCTTCTCATATTGATTTTCCATCAAAAAAGACACAACGTTTAATGTTTGATTATGATATTTTCAGGTATCTGTGAATAATGTTTTCACATTTAGCTGAAGTTCTGTGGTCTTTTGCTACATGCTAAGTACAGCTGAGTTATGTCTAGGTAACAAAGAAAAGGAAAAGATATTATTTGTAGAATAAATACAATCGTAAATATGCTGATCAGTTTCAGCATTAAAGAGGATTGTTTCTAATTTATTTGTAAGGTCTGAGAAAAGAGTTGTGTATTTGGATATATTTTTAAAAGCGTTTTATAATTTAAAAGACTCAATCTCTGTAATATTTCAGTGTATACTCACTGATATAGGGCCCTGTTTACCTATGAGAAAAGTGAAAAGCAACGGCAATAATAACTGCACAGATTTTCATCTTAATATAAATACATGACCACATTTATGTGTGATTTGAACACATCCCTGCTATAAATGCTTGCCATTTACATTTACATCTATTTCAACTTAAGGTGAGCAAACTTATGTCACAAAATATTACCTTGACAAGGTGGGCTCGATTAAAGAACCAGTCCTCAGTTTCATTTGATCCAGTTCAGACCTCAGTTTCTCAATTTCTTCAGCAAGTCTTTCCTGGAAATAAAAAGAGTCAGGTATACTTGTGATACAAAATGCATTTATTTTATGAGATATTGTTCTCATAAAGTTAAACAAGTAAGCAAAGATAAACAGAACATAACACTGACTATGATAAGGGAAGGAAGCTCATTTAAGTCTCACAACTGCCAGTGATATGTATGCATTAAAAGGAGGTGTTATAGCACTCTGCTATTTTACCACTGCCTGCAAGTGTTGGAAGGACTAGTTTGTCCTTGAAACTTATTTTCTTCCTACTATAAAGCCAGGCACAGTTCACCGTGGGACTCCCCACCTGCCCTATGGAGACCACCAAGATTAACAGCTGGACTCATTGACCTCAGATAATCTTTTCCACCCTACACAATTTTGTGATACTATGGGATTGCATACCGGCCTTTATATTTACTGTCAGAGACACAGACTTAGAAAGAACTGCACTTTAATGACTCAAACTGCAGCTATATGTCTCACTCTTGTTCCACTGATGTGACTCTAGTATGAGGTGCTGCTGGAAAAAATGACAATTTGCCACAAAATTGGATTTTTGGAACTAACTAAAAAACCCCCACTATTTACAGCTACCACTAGAGAAAACAGCACTGTTCCCAAATTCTACAAATAATTGTTATCTACTAAGAAAGTGAAATCAAAGAATTTTAAAACAAATTAAGAACAAACACAGGATGAAGGTATAACATCGCTCTTCCTAGAATTTAAAATGTTCAGTATTGAAAAAGTCTAGGAAGGATAAAGATCTTCTATATCATCTATATCTGTATATAATGTATCTATAAATAATATTATCTATAAATAATACCAGTTTCAGTGAGTATTATTACTGAATTATTAATATATAATTACTGAAATAGTATTAGAGTATTTTTAAAATAGTTCTTCATTGAACAGAATTACTGAGATGACTGATACTCTATTGGTAACACTTGCCAATTACTTAGAGAGTATTAGTATCTAATGTTATGTCCATCTATCTGAAATTATTCATCAGTTTGTTCATCAAAGTGAAACAAATAGTCCCTTCAAAGGGGGACACTTGGAAGCTCTGGGATCGGAACATGTAATAAAAGAACAAGAGATAATGGCTTTAAAATGAAAGAGGGCAGGTTTCACATATCAGGAAGAAATTCTTTACGGTGAGGGTAGTGAGGCACTGAAACAGGTTGTCCTTTTGGGTGCCTTAATTTTGCTGCCTTTCTCTACAGGTTACCTAAATGTAGATGAAAATAAAATTTTTTTTAACTGTTACCTCTTTTGTTATTTTTCTCAAAGGTCTTGATTTTTGATGCTATATGATACATTTGTATTAGTATGGAATGGAGCTATATTTTAAAAATTCTATACAACTGCTTTTACAGGGATTTAATATATTGCTAGAACACTTCTGTGAATCTGAATGCAAATACATTTGTGTATCCTATTGCACTCCAGGCAGGAATAACTTCAAAACAAAATCCTGGTATCTGGGATTGGAAGAAACATTTATAATCAATTTGACTGATTCACTAAACAGCATTAGGGGTTAATTTGCAAGGAATGAAGAAAGGTCACTTTCAGCTATATTTAGCATAATGCCACTGCACTTGTTAAGAAGAATTGCATCAAACCAAAAAATTACATTCTTCACTATGAAAGTGCAACCAGTTATGCATACATCTCTGTTAAATAAGACTTTTTCAGAATTAAAACTGATAGAAGAAAAACTTCAGAATTAGTGAAATCAGTATGAATTTCGGTATTGACTTCCTGAGGCTAGGATATCAACCATGAACTTAGCTCAGAACAACTGTCAGAGACCTTCTAAGGCTATTTCTTGCATCTAGGTGATTAAAGGAATTCCCATTTGTGTCAGGAAGATTTTTCATGATGGATAATTAATATTCCATACACAAATTTCCAAATAATAATTCTACATATTTTGATAAAGCCAGATAAAATCACAGTATATTACAGTACCTTATCATGTAAAGACTCTTCCAGATTTTTCCTGAAACTTTCAGATTCTTGAATCAAAACATTCTAAAAATAAAAAGAAGAGAAAAAATAAGCAAGAAAGAAATTAGGGATATGTTAATGTACGAAATATCACTACATACATATACAAGTTTAAAAAGTTCTTATATTTGGGACTTCAAAATTAAAAATCTTTAATGCTTCAGTTGGATTATATACGAAATTTTAAATGCTGCAAGAATTCAAACATGTAGGAGCATGTGTCTTCTAGATCAGCAAACCCTTTGCATCTTGGTTCAACTGAGCAACTGCCTCATCCTTACACAACCAATTCTCCCAACCTCCTCTTTTGGCAAGCCTACTTCTCACTGTATACCACATCTTGTTTCAATGATATAAACCTGAATTACATTATCTGAGAAGTTCTGAAATATGCTTCTGAAAAACACTGAAAGATTCTTCTCAGATCACACAGAAGGCGAATAAGTAGAAGAGGAAGGGATTAAAGAGGGCAAATACAAAGGTTGGTGGCTTTGAATTTTGCAGGACTGCATTGTCTCATGTCATGGAAAATCTGTAAATAACTCTCTCTCTCCAAGGCTAGATTCTCCTTCTCCTATGATGACAGCATTTTACTCTTCCCAGAGGAAGTGAGATGAAACCAGCAGGTTAAAACACTGAAATGATAGCACATCTAAAACTGGTCATTCCTCTGTTCTCATCCACTTTCTCTCACTGCCTCATGCAGCCTGTCACTGGTCCTTTTCAAGGTCTTCATCAGGCTCTTGGCTGATAAAACACGTGACTCAAAATATTCAGCATATTTGCAGCACTTCTGGGAAGACACTTGACCCCACTCTTGAATTGAGTCGAATGTGTAAGTTGGACCATATTTGTGTAATATTTGGTAACACAAAATCGACATAACACCTCCATCCTGATAAAAGTAGAGCATATGGGAAATCTTTATTAAGCTAAACTTTATACTGCTGTTTGTACTGTACCTTTTCTTCAAGTGCTGCCATTCTCTCTTTCAAGTGTAGTTGCAGACGCTCATTGGATTCTGTCAAAAGTCTGTCTACAGTATCTGATAATCTTTTGTTGTGCTCCTCGTTCATTTTTTCTCTTTGCCTTGCCTTTAATGTAGAATAGACGAGACAGATTGGTAGGGTCCAAAATTAACCAGTAGACATTTGTATCATTAAAAAATTTTAAAAATCCAAAAGGTTAACTGTAACCATCTAAAAGAATTCCACAAGAAATGTAATCACAGTTACTGATTAATGCACATCCATTTTTGTAACAGCAGAATGTTTTCAACTCTGCAACTGGATATAAATTAGTGTATTAAGATAGTGAAGTAAAGTAGTAGTGCTACAAACAAAACATTTACAATTGGGTAGTTTTGGGCACTGGAGTACATAATGTAGCACTATACTGGCAAATTAAAAGTGCACAGAAGCTGTTTGCAATACACATACTCTTTGAAGTTCCTGATTCTTCTCTTCAAGTTGAGCTTCTAAGTGTCTCATACGTTCCTCAATGTTTCCATGCCTTTCTTCTGCCTGTAAAAAAATAGAAAGACTCTTTCTGTAATTTAGGTGTCTTTGGAATTTTTTATCTCAGTAAAGTTTAAACAAAACATAAAGCAAGCTACTACTAACTGCAAACTTAGTTTTCTGAAAATAAACTTTATTTAAACAGGCAGCTGAACAGCATTGCTTGAAATGTGTCAGCTACAAAGGCCTGTTACATCCAAGCATCAGCAAAACATTGGAGTTATTTATGAGCAATGAAATCAGCCAAATGTAACATGCAGACTGTGCATGGTTTGAACACAAACCTGCCATCGTAAAATTGTAAGCTCCTGAAGCACTGAACTGCACGATGGTTGATTATCAATTAAAAAAAAAAGCTAAAAAATGAAAACAAATCAGATGGATTCTATTCAGCAATAGAAAGTAAAGTCCAGTAGGACTACCTTCCTACGTATGGAGATCATTTCTTGTAGTTTAGCTTCCATAACATATTGATAATCATCAGATGAGGTAGAAGAGGTTGGATCAGACTAACAAGTCAAGGAAAAGGAGAGGGACAAAATTGAAAAATCAGAACTAAAGACACTGACACTGAACAGAACACAGCACAGAATGCTTAAAAGAAAAGTGTGACTGAAAATTTATTACTTTTAACTGACAGATTTTTACATGGAATAAACTACACTGATACTTGGTGAATAAGATGCAGTTAATGAGGAGAAACTGAAAATAATGGAATGCTAAAGAAGCTATCAACCTACACATGGAAGTTCAAGGTTAGTGATGGCTGGCTGATGACACATTACTACAGAGTGGATTCAAAGCAATACTGCCTAATCAAATGTTTTCTCTCCCTCTTTTTAATTTTTTTTTTTAATTTTGGTAAACTGAATACCAGAACTGGACCCTCAGAGGCCAACATCAGAAATTCCTGTATAATTCCTCTACCATTCTCTAGGAATGATTACAATGCATAAATACTACATAATGGGTTAGTTATACCACTATGCAATGCCATGATATATTCCCTAATTTCTAGAAAACAGAAATAATTTCAAAAGACACAAGGCTCAAGCTTTCATATGCCATTTTAGAATACACTACATAAGGCCTTTCATCCAAATAAACAATAAAGTTTTCATCCCTTTGAAAAGATCCACCCTGGTGGATCTCTTTGGAAGATCAAGGTCATCAGATAAAAGAAGAACCTATAAATAAAAATTCATTAATAATAATGAAAAGTTATTACTGAGTATAGAAATGGTAATCCAACCAAAGATTCATTACTATTTCTGACAGAAGCTGACCTGCATTTGTGGTCATTTGTGGCAAAACATGAATATTCATGTTATTGTCATATCAAACAAGTCTGTGCTATTATTCAAAAACTAAAAATGCCCTTTAAAAAAAAAGGAAATGCTATATTGGTTTTGTTGCTATGGAAACAGGAATGTGCATAAGGCATAAGGAGAGTGCTACTGATGACTGAGTTGTGAGCTCGTGCTTGTCAAATGCTATTTCACTCTGTCAGATTTTCTCCCTAAGAGATCTGAACTCCATCTTTAGATGAGCAAACTTTTATATGCACAAGAAATACTAATTTTACAGCTTTATTTTTGTGAGACTATTTTTCATATGCTTATCTACTAATGTCTTATCAGATTAATTACGAATAAGTACCAAAGTAATGCCAGATGTTCATAATAACTTCAAATTGCCCATAGCTTAAACTCAGTGGTATTATCAGGACCAAAAGTTCATAAGTTGATACAGAAAGCAATCCTGTAAACTAGTAATTTATAAACATAAATTGCAGCCTTTGATATGAAAGCATACATATAAGAAAATTCTGCTTTGTTTAAATACGAGAATATTGCTTAACTTTGAAGGTCACTAGTATTCTTTTCATAGTATATTCACAAAACTCAGATTCTTGCAAAATTTAAAGGAAAGTTTTTGTAACTAAATTCATTTAGAAGTTCAGTTCTTGTTTTGGATCATGAAGCAGGCATATTGTGATGCACTCGAACTTATTTATTAGCTGAAACAATGTTCTCTATTTATTACAACGTGGACCAGCATACTTCCATGATCTTCTTTAAATTATCTCTCTCTTTTACTTATTAGTCAGTTTCAGCACACCAGTGCTAATGCACTGCTTCCTGTCCCAGCTGGGCAATTAGAAGGACAGGCCTGAAAAAGTTAAGTCCTTCTGATTGCAGAACAGGTATCTTTCCACAGAGTGACCAAGATTTATCCTGCCCTGTAGAGAATAGAATTTCCCCCTGTTCGAGTCCTGGCTGCAGCATCGGTTCAAGGCCATCCCTTAATGCATTTCCAAAGGTCATGAGATGACTTGAAATCACCAAAGCTCTGAGAAGACTTAAGTAATTCTACCTCTTTTGAAGCCATTTTCATAGAGGGAAATGTAGAACCCACTAGGGGCACCTTCCTACAAAATTAAACTCCTTATGAGTTTCATTAGCTGACTGCGAAACTAAAAAGCAAATTACTTAAACTTCACTGTTTCTGATGCCTT